CCTAATGCCACCTAGCGGGTAGCTGAAAAAGATAGTACATAGTACCACTACCCGCCACTAGATGTCGTAAAGTGTCACAATACACAATAATAATTGAAATGCAAAAAAAGCGTAAGTTTGCTTAGGTCACGCACTCTGCGACTATCCTAGTCTAGAAATATAGTCAATGGCGTAGTTTGGAGACCCCTGGTCTAGAGGATGATTCACCAAAGTACACCCTGTATTCTGACTAGAAAATCACATGATGTGATTGAGGATACTAAAATTTTGCTAGAATCTGAAATTAACAAATGAATGTATATAAATATTTTTATTCTGAAATATCACATCGAATTATATCAATAACTTCGTAACATGACTTAATTTTAAAAAGCTACTACTTATAAGCTAATATCAATGTATAAAATTAATCCGAGTATTCAGGGGGTAACTTTCGATTCAATTCTAAAGTGTATGATATCCAAGATTGAACGTGGTAACGAAAAGTCCTCAATCAAGTCCTAGTGCTTTCACTGCGAACTGCCCAAAAATATTTTCACTTGCGGCAAAAAGCTTTTCGCCTTCTGTTGGTTTTCTCTCAGCAGGCAAAGCTACGATTGTTACGCAAAATTCTTGAAGCGGACCCTGTTTTACATTTGTAGTATTCACAGTCATCGTAGAATCGGGAACTGGTGTGGTTGTGATGATAGATGCAGTAGCTGTACCATTAGTCGTTGAAGTACCATTCACAGTTACATTATTGTTGACATTAGTGATGTTAGCAACAACAATAGTGTTATTTACATATGTCACATTTGCGTAGATCTTAGCAGTAGATATACAGGGAATTGATAAAGTAGTTGTGTTCTGAGAAGTTTCCTTGCATTCAGGAGAGGTACTGTTGAGACATGGGACAGTACTCTTGACGCAGTTCGTTTGTCCTTGTACGGTACAAGGCACTGTTGATATGGCGCTGGCAACGCACATTACAGCTCCATTGTTGGTACATAGAGAAGTGGTGTTAGCAGGACAGAAAGAACCACTGTCTCCAACACAAGCAACTACAGCATTAGGAGCGATCACAGCCTCCTTGGGAACATTGTCTCTGTTGTGGTAATAATGATGAACTTCGTAGTGGTCATATCTTGGGGTATAATCTGAGCTACCATAATAGCTACTGTGGTAGTGATAACTGGGTGTGCTAAGTCTTCCCAAAGAATACCCCAAAAAGAATCCCAAAGTACTACTGCCGGTATCGTATGATGAATAATGGTAACTTGGTGCGAATCCTCCATATCCTCCACCATAACCGTATCCTCCTCCGTAGTGATGATTATTGTTATTGTTGTTTATGATGGTGACTCCACCACCTCCTCCTTGGGGATGGTATCCAGGGGAATATGCTGGAGGGTGACCCTGTGGAGAGTAGGCTGGTGGATAGCCTCCTGGGCTGTAAGCTGGAGGATGACCATATCCTGAGGGATTGTAGGCTGGTGGGTGGCCATATCCCGCCGGATTGTAGGCTGGTGGAGCACCATAACCAGCTGGGTTGTATGCTGGTGGATGGCCGTAACCTGCTGGGTTGTATGCTGGAGGGTTGTTTCCTGTAATTTGTTAATGAAATAATATTAGTAGTATGGAAAATTTGCATGAATTTGGAATATATAATTTGGTTTGTGGTGTTTGTACCAAAATTGTATAATAATAAAACTAGATTTTCTTTCAGAAGTATTGAAGATGATAGAAATAGTTTTTTGAATGAGAATATCAACTCAACATATGCAAACCAACTTTCAGCAGAGGAAAAAGAGTTCAACCATGACCATGACCTCATATTTGGAAAAAAAAATCAAAACTCAATATTTCAGAATACCTATATAGGAAGTATATAATCTTTTTTTAACTTTTCAATGCAAATCATGAAATTTAAAAGTTATCAGCTGCAGGAAAACCCGGAAAAACCTATAGCACCACATCATCTGAAGATGTTGATCTGCCAATGTCCTCTGTTTCATAAAACAAAATATAGGGTGTCTCCAGAGGCTCCAATAAATTCAGTGAATATTCAAGGATTCCAATCATTTATCCAATGACTGGATGAAATCGTAGATTCTCCTCTGCTGAATTGTTGTTGTTTTCTAATGATGAAACTAATAATTGAATAAATATATTGAATGAGATCAGTAGGTGAACATAGGCATTTCATGGTTTTCTATTTGAAACCAACAATTTTCAATTGTTGTGATATCTATATTTTTTATGGTTTATTATAACACTATTATCAGATGAAAATACTTAACAGTAACATTTCAACTTCCCCCAAATTGAAGTTGTAGCTGTAATGGTTCGCCATATACTTTGCTGTAGATTGGTATAGAAATGATATTGAAAAAAAATTAAAGGTGTATATGTGTTCAACCGAAAGCTTCGCAGATATTTTATGAGTTCAGTGGAAAACTAAATTGGAAACGACATCACAAATTTAAAAATGTATCTACAAACGAGGTCTGTTCAAGAAATAAGGTAAATGTACACATTTTGGGGACTACGTTCATTCGATTAGTGTTTTTTGAATTTTTTTTATGTTGGTACACTTGTCTCGAACATATTTTCAGTTTCAGCTGTTAAATTATTGGTAAGAGAAATAAAAGTGTTTTGCGTGTTCGGCGACTTTCTGCTACCGAAAAAAAATGGATCAAAGGATTTGTATTAAATTTTGTGTAAAGAATTGAATTGAGTGCTCAAAAACCTTCGAAATGGTGACAGTGGCATACGGTGATTGTACTCCGAGTCAGAAAAATGTTTACAAGTGGTACAAGTTTTCACAGATGTTCGAGAAGATGTGAATGACGACGCTTGCTCTGGACGCCACAGCATAACCGATGAAAATGTTGAGAATATAAAGAAAACTGTTGTGAAAAATCGTCGAAGGTAGCATATCGGTTAGCTCACGCCATGCAATTTCTTCAGAAATTTTGGGCATGAAGCATATGGCAGCAAAGTTCATTCCAAAATTGCAAAATTTTGACCAGAGAAACCGTCGCAAGAGCATCGCTCAGAAACTGTTGAATGACGTCAACGATGATCTAAAAGGGTATCAATCGATGATAAATCATGGCTACATGATTATGACATCGAAACCGAAGTCAAAGTGTCCCAATGGAAGAGTTAAGCTCAAAAAGCACGCCAAGTTCGATCAAATGTCAGGGTTTTGCTCATTGTTTCCTTCGATTACCATTGCATAGTGCATCAGGAGTTCTTGCAACATGGTCGTATGGTCAGTAAGGAGTATTGTCTTGAAGTTATGCGCTGCTTGAGAGAAGCAATATGAAAAAACCGTCCAGTACTGTGGAAAAACAATTCGTGACTTCTGCATCACGATAATGCTGTTGGAATTGTTTATTATAATATATCGATGTTAATATTTTATCTCTCTATATGAATAATTTTGTTTTATGTTTTTGGTAACTATTGTATAGAGTAGAGTTCAGTTGTTAAAAGTATTAATGAAAAGTCATTTCGAGAAAAGTCAAAACCTATTTTTGAAACGATTAAATAATAAGAATCCATCTCATTTACAATATTTGGCGACCGTGACAGGACATAAAAGAGGGATAGTTTGAAGAAAAATAGGCAGCAGTTAAGGAGACTTCAAAAATCTGTTGAAGCGATTGATGGAGCCTTGAAGCTGAGAGATTCGACTAAAGAGGATTTACTGTTTCTACTGAGACAATTGGAGGATAAGAGTAGCAGATTATTCGAGGCAGATGAAGGAGTTGAAAAAAAATTGTCATTAGATGCCATCGATGATATTGAATTAGAGTACGATGAGGTAGAATATTACAGAGACGAACTGATAAAATATAAATCCAAATGCGAATTCCGATTGAACGAGATCACGAAGACCCAAGAAGATCGTTTGAGCTGTTCCAATTTCTCTATAACGGAGAAAATTCAGAGAAAATTTCATTTACCAAGAATAGAACTGACGAAATTCGATGGGAACGTGAAGAATTGGATTGGGTTCTGGGGACAATTCAAGAAGATTCACAACGACCCAGAAATAGATAATGAAGACAAGTTTCAGTATCTTTTACAAGCGACGGACAGTGGTTCACTTGCTCGAGATTTAGTAGAAAGTNAAGATGAACATGAAGAAGAAGTTTTAAAGAAGTTTAATCAAACGATAACTTGGAAGGAGAACAGATATGAAGTTCATCTACCTTGGATTGAAGGTCATCCAGAAATAATGAGAAATGATGAAATGGCCAATTCTCGGTTGATGTCTACTACAAAAAAGTTAAAAAATCATCGTTAAATTACGAAGAACTCATGATTGTTTTGTGTGACTGTGAAGCAAATATTAATGCTCGACCTCTCACATATATCTCAAATAGCGAAGAGGTTCTGATTCCATTAACGCCTTTGATGTTTATTAGTTCAAACTCAAGCACAGATACTCCAGAGTTGGATAAGGTTGATAGAGATCATCTACTAAAGAGGTACAAGTATCTGCAAAAACTTCGAGAGGGCCTTCGTAGTCGATTTAGGAAGGAATATCTGGCAGAATTAGTCCATACTGGTCAAAAAAGGGTAACTTCACTAAAACGAGTAAACTGGCCATTGGGGAAAATTTTACAATTGTTTCCAGGAAGAGATGGAATAGAAAGAGTAGCACGTGTTAAAACAAACGAGGGGAATTAATTCGTCCTCTGCAGCGATTGTTTCCATTAGAAATTGAGGCAGACACGGCGAACCAATTAAAAAAGACTAGAGAAGGGGATACTAACGAGATACCAGAAAATCGAAACGGAGAAAACAATAGCATTTACAATGGAAAGTTAACACAGCAAGGAGAAGATGAAGAGGGAGAAAATAGATAGGAAAGAAGACACCAAGATGCGACGGCTTCATCACAAGTAATAACAAGATCTGGAAGAAGAGTGAAGATACCGAAACGTTTTGGGTTGGAATGAGTTTGCAATTAGATTGCAAAATGGGGGGAGAAAAACATAAAACAAAATTATTCATATAGGGAGATGACATATTAACATCGATATATTATAATAAACAATTCCAACAAATGCACCTGCTCACAGGTTATTGCTTCTTCGTAACTTTTTAAACAAAAACAACACCGTAATCATGTCACAGCCACAGTATTCACTAGATTTGACCCCCTGCGACTTTTTACTGTTCCTAAGATTGCTCAAGGGCATACGACAAAGTGCATATCTGAACTGCTTCGAAGATTGGAAAAAACACTGGCACAGGTGTATTATATCTGGAAGGCACAAAATAGAAAGTGAATAAATGAATATTCTTTGAAAAAAAAATGAAAATTCACCTTATTTTCTGAACAGACCTCGTATATCATGAATGTTTCTGAAGAAAACACTTTTTTTGTCACATAGAATCCAAGGCAGAGGTATATTTCCTTGTATATATTTTTTCTAAAGCACAGAAATATGAATCGATATCATAGATATCGCCTTGAAGAAATTCAATAGTGGATTCGACAAAGGNTTACATGATGACAAGTCATCATTCAGTTGCTCTTCCACTTAACCTAAAAAATGTCGCCTAGTACGCAAAGGAATAAACAAAAGGGATTTTTATTCATTTAAGAATATTGTGACTATTTATAGATTTGTAATAGGTAGGTAGCTATTGGGTCGTTAATAGTTTGAAGATAATAAGAATCGTTTGAAATTGGTATTAAAATGATTGACGTCATCTCGTTTCATGAGATCGGGAATATTATTATAAATTGCACAGATCAAAAGGGATTTTTATTCATCTTAGAATATTGTGACTATTTATAGATTTGTAATAGGTAGGTAGCTATTGGGTTGTTAATAGTTTGAAGATAATAAGAATCGTTTGAAATTGGTATGAAAATGATTGACGTCATCTCGTTTCATGAGATCGGGAATATTATTATAAATTGCACAGATCAAAAGGGATTTTTATTCATCTTAGAATATTGTGACTATTTATAGATTTGTAATAGGTAGGTAGCTATTGGGTTGTTAATAGTTTGAAGATAATAAGAATCGTTTGAAATTGGTATTAAAATGACGTTGACGTCATCTCGTTTCATGAGCTCGGGAATGTTATTATAAATTGCACAGATCTGGTAGCTGAAACTCCTTTTAAAGAATGTGCGAAAGAATGGTGGAGTTAGTCGGCCTTTATACCTTACATTAATATTATTCATATCAGTTCTAAAAGTGATTTTCTGGTGTAAGTAAGACGGCACTTTACTATTAATTATTTTGTGATACAAAGTTGCAGCATGTAACATTCAACTATCGTTCATGTTTAACCAGCCGGTATCCTTCAGTTTATGTGATATTCATTCTCTTCTTCTAATACCAAAAATTAACCGTAAGCAGGAATTCTGAACTTTTTGTATCTTTTTCTTGAATTGGTTGGTTAAACATGGACCATACAAAATATCAGCATAATTGAATATAGATAAAACTAACGATTCACACAAATTCGCCTTCACCTACATGGGTAGGAAATTTCGGTGTCCATATATAATTTTTAGCGAATAATATGCAAGTCTAATAAACTGATTGACCTGACTTTCGAATTTCAAGTCCTTATCTAAAATGATGCCCAGGGTTTTGGCTTCTGGGACAACCCCAAGTACATGATCATTTACTACTACTTCCACAGATTTGCAAATATCATTTCTAGGGGCTTTTGGTCCGAAAACAATAACATTGGATTTACTACAATTTATATTTGAGTAAATTTATGAATAATACTAAAATATACACTTTGAGTTGGATGTTGGTTCAGTGTGAACCAGAAACATTTCTTTAAATATAATGGGGTATATTTTTGGGAGAGATCAATTTTTGGGACAGAAAGGTTTTGGATTTTTACTTCTCAATCTTGATACAAAAAAATGCGGAAATCTTCCAAAAAAAGGAAGCAATCAATTTCTAAAAGATAACTGTATACAAAAAAGATGTGTAGATCATGCGAAGAAGTAACTTTCAGATACAAACTGGAAAAAAAGCCCTCTAGAAACAGCCACTTCCATATAAACATAGTAGTTGTTTACAGCTGATTCTCGGCCTCCCCCTACCACTATGACGTATTAATTGCTTTTTTATTGGTTGTTGTTTAGTGAAGTCAAGGCGATGTGACCTTGAAGTGTCTGGTGTATGGATCGTTCAGATTTTTACTTCTCTATCTTGATACAAAAAAATGTGGAAATATTCCAAAGAAAGGAAGGAAGCAATCAATTTCTAAAAGATTACTGTATACAAAGATGTGTAGATCATGCGAAGAAGTAACTTTCAGACACAAACTGGAAAAAAAGCCCTCTAGAAACAGCCACTTCCATATAAACATATAACGCAATGCCACACTGTTATTACCCATATTGAATATTTTATTTACTCACCACTATTTCCAAGAGGGGCTGTTTGTTTAGGTGGACCAACTGGTTGACCAGGACTGCCTCCCGTATTGAAGCCAATTGGTCTCACTGTTCCCGTACCTGAAATACAGAATTATATATGGATATAAATGAATTGAATGAAAAATTCATGAAGCTATTACATGAGTTATCACCGTTCTCTTCAAATTCAAGACAGAGAACATACAAGAAAAATGAATGTACTTAACCAAAATTAATTGTCATGAGGTGACCCATCCCGAAAAAAAAATGGTACCTTTCAAAACGACGCCATATGAATGTGTATACATATACTCATCATGACAAAAATTGATTCGTCTCTTTCGACTACAAAGTTTTTTTTTTCCAATAGAAACTTTTAGTAATTAATAACTACGGTTTTTTCCTTTTCTGTCAACAGTGTAATAACGTACAAAAATCAAAAAGGTTTGAATTGTGGAATTTGATTTCTCAACCCAGTGGAATCGATTGTCCGGGCCTCGCGGCTCGAACCACCGGTTCACACAGCGGTCGATTGAGTGAGTGGAGCAAATCACTCACGCCAACCCAACCTAATACTTTCACTGATTCTAAAACGGAACGCCAAATCAGCGTTTCATTCTAAATTGTGGTAAACGAGGCCCCTTATAAACCAAGTCCAAACATTTCGTTTGGACCTATTCCAAATATGAATTTAGAATAGGTAACTTGAATAAATTCATATCTACACATGAATATTTATACATAAATATTGAGGATGATAGTGTTCTATGTAAAGGACATTTTATATCATTACATTTTTATTTATGCACCTACATAATATTGATACCTTTCATAAAATTTCTGATTGATGATTATGTTGATATTCGTACTCAGTTATGTATCAATTTGAATTAATTTTGTTTAACAGTTGATCCATAGTTTCGACACATTTTCAAATCAAATTGAATTTTTTCACTCACCGTGACCCGGTTGTCCTGGAGGAACGAAACCAATGGGCCGATATGGACCAGATCCTCCTGTAACAAAAAACACAAAGAAAAAAAATACTCGGAAAAAGGACAAAAAAAAATTAAATGTCTTTGTGTGTGTGAAGTATAAGAGGATATATTGTGATTTTTTCAATTCACAGTTACGAAGAAATTTTTGAAAGTTTACTGTTGTGTTATGGCTTACGATAAAGGCACTGATTTATTAAGTTGTGTAAAATGTGGAGTGGGATTTATGAATCGCGACAAGGGTCTCATCCCAAACAGTCCTTTGTTTACTCTTACATACATCAATTACATAATGACACCAAGATATTAACTTTTTGGCTGTCAGTTTTGGAAAGCAGCGTTTCATCGCTGTAAAAGTCAGTTATGGTGACCTAGCCTTCAATTTTTTCACCATTTCACTGATTTGTAAGAGATGAAGTCTATCAGTTGGTCGTACTGACCAATAGAAATTAATTTCTGCTTTTCATAGTGGGAAGTAACTTGCGACGAATGTTTCGAGTGGAAAACGTTGCACAGGTATATGATGGTTTCACTTCAGCTTTCTGTGCGGAATTAGCTGGGTTAGCTTGGAAAAGGTGTGATTTTTCATGAAAAATACCAAAAGTGTACTGTCAAGAAAGTA